GGTACAGCTCCCAGGCACTGTGTGACAGAGATGGCAGCTGCATCCCCTGAGGGGAAGGGTCTCAGTCCTGGTGTGGCTCCACAGCTTGTCCCCTCTCTCCCCTCGAGCAGTTCCACCACCGTGACCCTGGAATCGTGGGGCTGCTGACCAGTGACAAGATTCCCACTGGGCGGAGGGTCTTCTACGGGATGATCTCAGACGGCATCCACACCAACCCCGCTGCCCTGCGGATCGCCCACCGAGCCCACCCCAAAGGTAAGCCATGCCAGTGTCCCAGCCCCTCCAAGCACTGGGCCACCTCCCACAGGACACTCGTGCTGCCCTCACTGGCTGGAGGGTCACAGCCGTGTGTGCTGATCCCCTCTCACTTTGCTGGGGTGTGGCTGAGACACCGTGGCCCCTCTCTGGGAGGGCTAGCGGGGCACAGCGCTCAGATCTGCAGCAAAATCAGCTGCAAAGCTGACAGGGCACCTTTGCTTGTGTTGCTCAGGCCTGGTGCTGGTGACAGATGCTATTGCTGGCATGGGGCTGGCACCGGGGCGGCACACGCTGGGCCAGCAGGTGGTGGAGATCGATGGGCTGAACACCTACATCGCAGGTAAGGGCCTCTTGCTGGAGAGCTGGGGACAGCACTGCCACTGGTGCCCCTTCCTGGCCAGCTCAGCACAGCTGGCTGGCCCTGCCAGTGTGAGGCAGTGCTCCTGCCACCCTCTCGGGTTTTGGTGCCTGATGGCTCTGCAGTGACTTGGCCCTGGGGAGAATAAGGCACCTGGTAAGGAGGGGAAGTGCCCCACCTCTGTGGAGTGGGGAGGAATCTGTCCATTTGTAGCTGTCTGCAACACCTTTGAAAGCCTCATTGCCCAGTGGCATGTGTGCAGAGGGTCAGAAAGGACAGAGAAATCTTAGAGATATTTATTGTCCCTTTTCTTTATTACATCACTACCACTTCTTGCTAAGTAAATTCCCTAAGTTTCAAGTTTCCAAGCAGTTGGAGACTGAGAAGGTATTTCAGAGAAGGATCGTTCCTTTCTCCATTTGCCTCTGGCAGCAGGTACCTACTTTGTGAGCTGGTTTCACCCAGTCCAACTGGTCTGGTGGTGGAGCTGGGGGGTGACACCCCAGTACCTCTCCCTGCCCTGCCAGCACCTCTCCCTTGCCTCAGTCTGTCCCTTGGCAGGAGTGGCTGCGGGCCCTTCAGCTTGCCCCTCCTGCCACCCACAATTTCTGCCTTTCTCGTGCCATTATGCTTCCCTGCTGCCCCCCTTCTCGTTGCTGTGAGCTGTGGGAGCTGCTCAGAGCTATCCTGTTCCTCTCCCAGGCACAAAGACCCTGAGCGGCAGCGTGGCGACCATGGACACGTGTGTGAGACACTTCCAAGAGGCCACAGGTAAGGGAGCCTTGTCCTCAGGCTGTTGCTCCCTGTGTTGCCATAGGAGGAGGTCTTGCTCTTGCCAGCTGTGTCCATTCCACCAGGAACATTCCTTCTCACCTGAGACATGAGAGGGGCTGGGATCAGTGCCCTCAGATGAGCGCCTTTTTGAGGGGAGGTTTCATTTTAACCCATAGCACTAATGAGAGGTGAACTCTCCTGCTCCTTCCTCACAAAGGTGGAATGATTCTCCCCTCCCCATACCCTTGGTTTTCAGTTCCTCTATTCCTACTGTCTCCTGTAGGGATATTTCCCTTACTAGCTCCATCTGGCTGTGGTGAGGGTGTGCCCAGTGACAGTTTCCTCGGCCAGGGGAATTTGGGCTGCTCTGGCAATGGGGCTGTGGCTGCCCTAACATCTCCCAAACTCTCTGTGCAAGGGTGCTCTGTAGAGACGGCGTTGGAGGCAGCGTCTCTGCATCCTGCCCAGCTCCTGGGGATTGAACACAACAAGGGGACACTGAATTATGACTCTGATGCAGGTACTGGTATGGGGACAGGAGGTATTGGTATGGGGACAATGGTGTCAGGGCTCCTGAGCGCTGGAGCAGAGGGGGGGCTGCTGCACATCTTCATCCCCTGTTTCAGTGGGAGCTGCAGGGAGACTTGCTCTGCATGGGATTTGCTCTGGGCTTTTACTCCAGTGGTTTTCCCCTCGTATGCTGGTGGTGTTTGGGAGACCCTTTGGAGTGCTCCCCATGCCTGAGCCCAGCATGGAGCAGAGCTGCCATAGCCAGGGGGGCACCGTGCTGCCGTCCTGTGTCTGGAGTGGGGAGAAGCTGTTCCCTGCTGAGCTCAACTCTCCCCAGCCAGCTCCAGCAGCTCCATTCCTCTGACAGCTGCTTCCTTTCCCTCTTGTCCAACACAGATTTCCTGATGCTGAACGACAGCCTGTATGTGCAAGCCACGTACATCGCCGGCCAGGAGGTCTGGAGACAGGACACGTCAGGCATGTGACACTGGGCTGTCCCGGTGCCCTCCGAGGCTCCTTGGCACTGTGGTTAGCAGCTCTGGTAACCACTCCACTCCTCTCTTTTTTTTTTTAAATCCCAATTTCTTCCTGCAACTCCCTTAAAGGAGCCTCATACCAAAGAGCTGCGTTTTCCAGCTTCCAGTTACAGCCATGCCTGCCACGAATTTGTTGGTGCTCAGTTGGTGGCATGGGGAAAGCAGGCAGCTCTGTGCTGGCAGGGAATTCCAGTCCTGGACTGGCCTAAGGGACTGCACAGCTGTCCTGCCCCCAGAGAGGTGCTCCTGTCACCATCTGACAGCAGTGAGGAGCTGTCCCAGCCTTTACACTGTTTATACAGCACACACTAACCTGCCCTGTGCCCAACGCAGGCTCAAGCCATTCCCATTCCTCTGCCTGCTCTTTGCCTCGCTCCTGGGCAGCCATGGCTTGTTAGACATCACCTTCCACCAGCTCAGCTCGCAGCTCTTCCCATGACAAGTTTCCTGTTGTGTCAGCAGAAGCTGAGGATCACATTTGGGTCTCCCGACAGCCCTTCTGTGGTGTGTCCTCGGAGAAGGGCTGTCACAGCTCGCCAGCTCGGTGCTGTTGTGGGGCTGAATCCTCAGGGCAGAGATCAAACCCAGGAAAACCAAGGCATTGCTGGTCCTTTGTGCCTTTCCCCTGCATGGGCATTGAGTCCACAGCACTGGAGACACAGACAGTATCCTGCCACAGAAAGCAATGCTCCTTTCACCCCTGGCTCTGGCTGGATGGGTCCTGCAGGCTCTGTGCCAGCCATATCGAGTAGGACCTTTGCATCACCTGATGGGTCTGTGCATTCCCCAGGCCATGGACTGGAAACTTTTGCATCCAGACTGGTGGTGATGGGCTCACGAGCCCCCAGCCCAGCTCAGGGACTGAGGGAGAGGAGGATGGAGGTGGGATTCTGGCTTTTCAAGACAGATGTGATAGCTCATTATTTTCAGTGCTCATTACTATCTTCTCCAATACTTGACTGTCAGCTCTTTTCCTGACACTTGGACACTTGTATGTGAGGACTGATGCTGATTTTGAACCTGCCACAGGCAGAATAAGCCTTGAAAGAAGTCTTAGACAACCTCCAACAAGGCTCAAGCCAATGAGATGGTTTTGGTGTGACGAGAGGACTTAGACAATAGCTAAGTCTCCGCCAGGGTGGAGGTTGTAAGGCAGACAGGAGTCTGATCGGGATTGGCAGAAGTGTGCTGATTTTTCCAGTACTGTTTTACAACCTTTAACAGCAACATTTGGAAGTGCTTTCCCAGCACTTTAGAGCCCTGCTGGAATCACTGGCAGCCTTGGAGAATTTCTAACATCAGCTGCCAATGTCAGCAGAAATTATAATGTCCACAGTTTGAAGCATTTGAGAGAGACATCACACCCCGTGCTGTGACACGCGCTGGCTGCCGCGGCACCGGCCTCAGCGGGAATCTTCTGGCGGCTGTTGAAAACAATCCAAGGGGAAAAAAATGTATATGAAACAAGGTGTCTTAACTTTTTATTTACAAAATTAAATAATCAAAAGGAAATCTAAAATAGAGACGGGATTAGACAGCACCTATGGGTGTGGTGCCTCCTGACAACAGGCTCTACCCTGCCCATGGAGGTGTGCAGTGGCACGGCCTGTGTCCTGCTGGGGTGTGAGGGGCCAGGGGCTGGTGTGGGCATTCCTGACAGGATTTGGCCAGACATGTCCTGGGGGGCATCAGGCCCAGCATCTCCAGCTGGGCCAGGGAGGGGATTTTCCCTTTCTGCTCTGCCCTGGGGCAGCCTCACCTGCAACACTGGGGCAGTTTGGGGGGTACACAGTGGAAGGGACAGATTGAGCCATTAGAGAGTGTCCAAAGGAGGGCAATGAAGATGGGGAAGGGTCTTGATTTGAAGCCATGTGAGGACACTGAGGGCACTTGGTGTGTTCAGCTGGACGAGACTGAGGGGAGACCTCCCTGCAGTTCCAACTGCCTGGGCAGGGGCAGAGGAGGGGCAGGACTGAGCTCTGCTCTGGGGGGAGCAGAGACAGCCCCCAGGGAATGGCTGGAGCTGTGTCAGGGCAGGCTCAGGTGGGATCTCAGCAATAGGTTCTTCCCCCAGAGGGTGGTTGGGCACTGAACAGGCTCCCCAGGGCAGGGGGCACAGCCCCAAGGCTGCCAGAGCTGCAGGAGGGTGGGATGATCCTCTGGGGCACAGGGGGTGACTGCTGGGGATGGTTCTGTGCAGGGCGGGGGGTTGGACTCGGTGACCATTGTGGGTCCCTTCCAGCTCGGCCCGTTCTGTGGCACCCTCTGAGGGGCTCGGGGGAGCGGGGGCAGTCCCGAGGGACAAACGCGCTGCCAAGGTGGGCGCTGGGCGCCCCCGGGCCGGGCTGTGCCGGGACTGCCCCCGGTCCCTCCCGGCCGGAGCGGGCCCGCGGAGCGCTGAGGGCTCGCACAGCGGACCGGCCCGGGGGGCGGGCAGAGCCGGGGGAGGCCCCGGGCGGGCACCGGGTCGGTTCCCGGCCGGGCGGGCGGGCCGGGCCCGCAGCCCACACGCTCCCGTGACCGGAGGTGGGCGGTGCGGCGGGGCCGCTTCCTGCGCGGCCGGGGCGGCGCGGAGCGGGTGAGGGCCCCGAAGGTCCCTGTTAAAGCAGCGCCGCTGCCTTTCCCAGCCCCCCTCACCTCCGTGTCCTGACCGTGCCTTCCTTCCCCCCGTGGGATGCAAACCCTTCGCTTCCACCTGCTGAGCAGGAGGCGGGCGGCCTAAAAATACAGCACGGGGCGCTTGTGTTTGGCCTAAAGGTACATTCTGTGGGTTGCCAGAGCTGTGCGAAAGGGACGTTTCCTCCTGTGGAGACATTGTGCCGTAATAAATTTCAGGGAAAATGAGAAATTTTGGGGGGGAGGGCCTTTAAAAAGGAGTAGGAGGAGAAAAAGGGGGGGGGGAAAATATATGTGGGAAGTCCTGGCTTACCAGGAGTGCCGGGGGGGGTCCTGCTAGTAGGAATTTGTTGCCGTGAGTTCTGTGGTGCAGGGGGCTCACTTGGCGCTCTCCGCACAGGACACGCGTGCCGGTGCTGCTGGTGGTGAATGAGCAGAGGCACAGCACACGCCCGGGGAAAAGCCAGGTCTGATCTTCTGTGAGAGAGGAGAGGACTTCAGGAAACTCAGGCTTCAGAAAGTCACGTTTGGAATCAGTTCTGGAGACGAAAGATTTGTGCTTCTTTTAAACACTCTGCCTTCCCCACCCCCTGTCCGAGGCTCCCCAGGTTGTGTTTCGGGAGGAGCTGAAGCGGTGCGTTTTGCAGCTGGAGGCAGATCTCCACCTCACGCCACCCCTAAACCAGGTACGTTCCTTTTTCCCAGCCCACACATCCCATATTCCAGCCTCGGGTCTGATTTAGCAGATTGGGTGTTTCTCTGTTTCTTCTCTCTCTTCTGTTCCCTGTTCTTTTGTCGTTTGGGATTTGTTCTAAATACAAAACAGCTTAAAGCATTGAACTTTAAGGGCTGTCTGTCTGGAAGCAGCTTTACCTTTCTTTCCTGTAGTGTTCATTCTCTCTGTTTTCTGTATCCTTTCTCATGTTTTCATTTTCCCATCCAGTGGCCTGTTTGGTTCTGCTACAGCTCTGCCTTTGTTTTCCATCTTAACTGTGCCAGTGTGTCTGGCCGTTAAACACCAGTAGGTTTATTTTTGTGAAGCTTGTTCCAAGGAGAAATTACCTGGAAGATAAAATCCTATAAAGTACTTTTCATGAGGTCACAGTTTGATCTCATCAGTCCAGCTTGTAGAGAAATGCAGACACATGTCCTGCTCCTGCTCCTGGCCACTGTTTAACCTTTAGAGGAGGGATGTGAACCCTCTGTAAGGTGCCCATGAGTGTTTGCTGGTTCACCTGAGGGTGTAGCAGTAACTAAAATGTGTCCACACACGATGCTTGAGCAGGCTCTGAGAATTAAGGCTGGGAGAGCTGGGGGGGTTCACCTGGAGAAGAGAAGGGTCCAGGGAGACCTCGGAGCCCCTGCCAGAGCCTAAAGGGCTCCAGGAGAGCTGGAGAGGGACTGGGGACAATGACCTGGAGGGACAGGACAGGGGGGAATGGCTTCCCACTGCCAGAGGGCAGGGTGAGATGGGATACTGGGAAGGAATTCTTGGCTGTGAGGGTGGGCAGGCCCTGGCACAGGTTGCCCAGAGAAGCTGTGGCTGCCCCAGCCCTGGAAGTGTCCAAGGCCAGGTTGGACACGGCTTGGAGCAACCATGGTCGAAGGTGTCCCTACCCGTGGCAGGGGGTGAATGAGCTTTAAAGTCCCATCCAACCCAAACTATTCTGTGATCAGACCATTTTGTCACACCTGTCTCCTGTGCTGGTCCCCAGGCTCAGCAGCAGGGAGGGCAGCTCCTGGAGGGGAGGCAGGAGCTGAGCACAGGGACGAGGCAGCAGAAGCAGTGGCCTGGCCAGAAAGGAGCCCCTTTGCACAGAACCTGAGGCATGAGGGCAGGGCAGTCCTGCTGATGGTACTCCAGCTCTGCCTGGAGTCCCAGTGCTGAAGGAGTGTGCGGTGAGGAGGCAGATCCAAGCTCTAGTCAGGAATTCAGGGTCTGGATCCATGAGTTATCTGACTACAGCAGTGTCTGCATGAGATCCTGGACTGCAACCGGACCAGCCCCTCGAAACAGGGGTACACGTGTGCTCAGACCCTGACACCCAAGTGCTGTGAAGAGACATCCCACTGTGTCCTAGGGCACATCATGGCCAGCATTGCCAGCTGGGTGAGGGAGGGGATTGTCCCACTCTGCTCTGCACTGGGGCGGCCTCACCTGCAATTTTGGGCAGTTTTGGGTGCTGCAGTGTAAAAAAGATCTAAAGCTGTTAGAGAGTGTCCAAAGGAGGGACATGAGGATGGTGAAGGGTCTGGAGGGGAAGCCACAGGAGGAGCTGCTGAGGGCACTTGGTCTGTTCAGCTGGAAAAGAGACTGAGAGGAGACCTAACCAGGGTCTGCAGCTTCCCCATGAGGGGCAGCTCCCACCTCTGGTCTGTGTGACCAGGGACAGGACCCGAGGGACCTTCTGGAGCTGTGTCAAGGGAGGGTTAGGCTGGATATCAGGAGAAGGTTCTTCCCCCAGAGGTGGTCGGGCACTGCAGCCAGGGGAGGTGGGACATGCCCATTCCACAGTACTAGTGGAATCAATACATCAGCAGCACATCAGGCTGTCTTGTAGCTGGAAATGAGTGAGACAAACACTACAGACCATATGTAGGGTACCCAAACCGAGGTCTTGGGGACCACTGTCATGGAACAGCTGTGTTTTTGAGAGAATTTGCTCTGACACAGAAAAAATTTGGATTCCTCTTGTGGTCAGGCTGGTTTGTATGAGAGCCAAGCAAGAATCCTGCTTTTAAGTCCTGCTTTTGCTCTAATAAGACTTTTTCCAGTTTTTCAGAAAAGAAACACAGAGCTGGGCTCTGGGATTTGTCTTTGCCTTGAGGAGAGAGTTGCTGAGCCCTATGTAACTTCTGTGCAGTGCACTTACTGCAGTGTAAGAGTCTGACTATATGTAATAAGCAGTTAGATTCCCTTCCCTCCCCCCCAGAACCTTTCACAGTATTTTGTCTTCTGGAAGCACTTGGAGTTCCCTCTCAGCCAGCTGCCAGTTGTGGATTAGTCAGAGGTGATATGAATACAGAGCACATTCAGAGAAGACTCAGTCATCAGCATCCCACAGTGGGGATTTTAAGACCCAACATAACCTGTTTCTTGTCTCTCTTGAATTTTTTCTGAGTGCAGTAGAGAAGACTCAGCACATTCTCAAGGCCCTGCGCTCCCCTGAGACTCCTCTTGCAAAGAAGCAACAAGCGATGAGTGATGTGTTTGGGGATTATCGTCTCAGGATGGCTGAGGATCAGGAGAGCATGGAGAAAGCAGGTGAGCTTGAGATGTCCCTCAGGGGATGGTGAGATTTGATTCTTCTCTGTAGATTTCTTAGGTTGCAGCTTTTGATTGAGTCACCTCTCTGGGCAATGTCTTAGAGAGGGAGCTGCAGTGGCATCCATGTGGTAGGAAGCTGGTGTATCAATAGAAACAATACTCTTTGTCTTTTCTAGGCGTGAAATCTGCTCTGGAAGTCCAGCCAAGCAGTGGGCAGGCTGCAGATGGTGTGAAACAGTCTGACCCAAGCCCTGAGGTGAAGCCAGAGCTGTTCACATCATCTGGCAGCAGCTTCCGATTTGATTTTACGCTTTCCGAGACCGACCCGGGAGCAGACCCTGGTGACAGTGGAGCTGTCACAGCCACCGAGCAGGAGAGCTGGAATGGAACCCTGAGCTTTGCTGCCTCTGGACAAGAACCCAAGTTTGCTTTCAACTTTGCCATCCCAGATGAAGACTGTCCTCAGCTCCAGCTACTTCCATCAAGCCAACACACAGACCCTTCACTGCCTGCTGAACCGGCTGCAGCCGTGCGGGACCCTGAGGGGAGTCAGGCTGCAGGGACTGCACCCAAAGAGGACAGAAACCATGTCATATCAAAGATCCCCCAAGCAGAGACTGCTCCTGCAGATGAGGCAGCGACAGCGAAATCAAGAGGAGACAGAGCTGCCCAGAAGAAGAAAAAGAAGAAGAAACAAAAACCACCTGTCAGTAAAAAGGAGACAGAAGAAACTGAGACAAGCAGGAAAGCAAAGACAGAAGCTAAGAACTGTCAAAATACAAATACTTCCCATCAGGATGAGAAGACCTCTCAGGTAGTTAAATATTGATGAGATCCCATAAATCATAAAACCTTAAGCTAAAGAGGCACTTTATCTCTTTGCACAGAGGAACAATTAGCATGCTGCCTTGAGATGAGAGCTGAAAGACCAGGTTTGCTGCGTGCTTCTTCCAGCAGCTGTTTGCTTTCTCTGCTGCACAGCTGAGGAACCTGACTAGTGGAAAGGGAGTTAACTGTCCTTCAGACTTGTGCTGAAGCATTTCATGTTTAGGCTTGTGACAGCTAATCCTGGGGAGATGGATGCCATGTTTTCTTAAGAAAAGGAAAATAAGAAATGGAGGTAACTGCCCTCAGTCAGTGCCTGTGGGTGCTGAGCCAGGCCCTGGTCCTGTTGCCAGGCAGGATGAGTTGCTCACATAGTGCAATAGCAAAACCAAGGCACAGAGCTGCCACCTGGTGCAGCCAGGGGTCTGGGGTGGAGCTCAAGGAGCTTCCCAGAAGGTTCTCACTGTAGGGCAAGGCCCAGAAATCTACTGAGGTTGCAAGTTATGTGTCAACACACCCTTAAGGCACACCCTGAGGTTTTCTATTCTGCTGAGGGTCTGGGTCTTCATTTTATTTTACTTCTCAGCACTGATGTAGGTATTACTACCAAACAGTGCCCACTGAGCAATACTGGAATAGAAGATTGCACAAAACCTTCCTTTTCTTAATATTCTACAAGGAAGTTGCACTGAGTGTTCACCTGCCTCTGGAACATTCCATCCTACCAATAAACACTGCTGAGTTCAGGAGAGGTAGGAAGACTGGAAGGTGAGTGAGGTAAAGCCCTTCCAGTCCTTGGGAAGGAGACTGTTGTAGGTGAGGGCTTTTGTGTTTACATGTACATAACAGTTACCAATTGCTTCAGTCCCAGGGTGCAGCCCTGTTTTCCTTCCCACTGCTGAGTTAGCCAGCTGGCTTTGCTCAGTGGGACTTGGCTTCCTCCATCTCCATGGGCTTCAGCTTCTTTCTCCTCATGTATTTCTGGTTTAGCAAGCACACAGGAGCTGACAAATTTGTCCGTTGTTCACTTTTTTTTGATTTTATGCAGGTCTGGGGGTAGGGTTTTTTTGTTGTTAATGCTCATTTCTCCCATCTGTGAGTGTATTTGACAACTTCTTTCAGAGGAAAGGCACTGAACAGCTTTCCAGAAAACAGCATCCTCTGAATGGCAGCCACATATTAAACCCTTCAAATAGAGGCAGTGAGTTGCAACTAAACATTTGTGCAGTGCTCTTAGTTTATCTGATGAAAAACACTAGAGGGAAAATGTCATGGAGTCTGTAAACTGATCACTGGCACGTGATGGTGGGAATAGTCCTGACTTTATGCAGTTCCCGTTTATCTCGTGTAGCAACTGCTGCTTTAATTTTTGGGTGACTTATTTCCTCTTGCTCCCTGTGCCCCACACTGATGGCAGTCAGAGGAGCAGCTGCAGAGGGAGCTGGACTGGTGTGTGCAACAGCTGGAACTTGGCTTGAAGACACAGAAACCCACTGCAAAGCAGGGTAGGCATTCAAGGAAAGGCGAACTGTGTCCTGTGGGAAGGGCTGGCAGGAAAGCAGGACCAGGAAGCCTTAAGTTGCGTGTTGTTCCTCCTTTGCTGCAGCTGAGGACGCTCTGCGGGCCATCAGGACGCTGCGCAGTGACAAGGCTCCCCTGGTGAAGAAGCGTCAGCTCATGAGAGCCATGTTTGGAGACTACAGGAAGAAGATGCAGGAGGAGCTGTGCAGGGAGCTGAAGCTCATGGAAACAGGTAGGAGAACTTCTCATGGTGAGGAGAAGAAGAAAGGGACTCACTCCTGCCCTGCGGATGGCTTTGCAGAGGGGGGTGATCACTCAACACCTCTGACGGCTCTTTTCTCCCCTCTTTAAGCTGCAAAGGCTGCCAGGATCGTGGAGGTGAAGGGAAACATCCTCAAGAAGAACGGCCAGTTCGTCCGGAAGCGCTCGGGAGCTTGCAGGGAAAGCCAGGGTTCAGCAGGATCCCCTTCAGAGGCCCCCAGGACACTTTATGCAGGCTTATTCAGTGACACAGCTTCCAAGGAAGAATTTCGCTTTAATTTCTTCTGAGAAAGTGTCTTAGACTAAAACCATGGCAAAAAAACCCTGTGCCAGATCTGTAAAGTGCAGAACGGTGGAGAGGTGCTGTGCAGTAGCCAATGACACCAGTGATTCTCTGGATCCTGTTCCAGAGTGCCTTATCTAGAAGTTTAAACCAGATCTGCCTGGTACCATATGACCCCAGGACTCAGCCAGCATAGTGCTCCTCTGTGCTTACACTGTAGAGAGGCACCCTTGAAAGGGTCAGCAGTGAAAGGAGCTGGTTTTCTTCCTGTGGGATTGACATGAACTGTACAATCTGTCTTTTATACTGTGAGATTTTCCGGTTCTCCTGTGGCTTTTAAATAGAACAGAGCTTTCCTAGCAAACAGAGGGGAATGGTTTGGAAAGAAGATCCAACTTCTATGAAGATCCAGCAGTGGATATTTGGATGCTTCCACTCTATGAGTCTGTGTGAATGCAGCTTCTGACATCAGCAAACAGCAGCGATGCCATCACTGACCTGGAGGGAGTGGAGCTCAGGGTCTGGGGGGAGAGGGAGTGAGAACCATTTTTGCTGATTCATCTCTTTCAAGTGGCAGGGACAGACTTAGAATAAAACTGCAAATGCTGATTTAATCCAGCCTAGGGATGTAAGGACAGTTGTTTCCAGACAGGGAAAGGTTTTTGTTGCTGGAGCCAGGTTCTGGCCAGCTAGGAAGGGTGTACAATCAGCTCTTGAATAAGGTTTGCTTTGTAAGTAGTCCAGTTACAACCACCAGTGACTCAGGTGAAATCACCTGCGTGCCAACCTTGGGTGGTGGTGAAATGAACTGTCAGAGCCCAAAGACTCTCTTCTACTTGATTTGTATTAAATGTTGGCTTTTTGAATGTGTATCTCTAGTGTTTCCATACTACTTCAGTCACTGAACCCATCTCCTATGTTCCTACAGAAAATCTTCCCACCAAGCCTGCAAAAGCTGAAGGAAGAGAAGTGCTGTGAAAGGCTCCGTGGTATCAGGTGTCCCTGGGGAGCAGTGCTGTACTCCCTTTTATGGCCCAGTTAGTGTGTGAGAAGTGAGAAATGGGAGTGTGGGCAGATTCCAGGGAGTGCTGAGAGATGGTAGAAAATATTGGCTGGCAAAGGCTTTAAAAAAACCTGATGTTGGCTCCAAAAAATTAATTTTATTACTAAGCCCTGACGCAGGCGGTGGCATCTGCAAGAATATTTTATTTTTTTCAAGAATATTTTAAAGAATTCCTGTCTGGGAAACTGAACCTGGATAGCATGCATGACAGGGAAAAATATGCAGAGATGAGTTTGTGTCCTCTAGAAGTCAGTGGGTAGAAACTGGAAATCAATTTTATTTGCCAAGGAGCACAGCTTTGACTGTGTGGAACAACCTTAGACAGTTTTTTTTTTTAGTTCTGGTTTCCAGGATTTTATATTAAACATACAAAAGCTGCGTCCTTATCAAACTTTTAGTGTTTTCATGCCATTACTGAGACTAAAGAGCATCCTTTCTTGACCTTGGAACTACAACTGTTTGCTTTCCTGGCTTGTTGTGCAGCAGATGTCTGGGAAATGGTTATTTTTTCCCTTGTCCTGTCTCAGGTAAAGCTAGAGCTGTTAAAACATTACAAAATCCTTGCTGCAGAAGGCTGCAGGAGTATTCTGGGAAGCATTCTTATATAATTGCCTCGTGCTTGTGCTGTTCCTTAGGCGTTCACAATTAGAGTAAAGATACCAATGAGGTGTGTGTTTGGTGTAACCTGACCCAGCAGTTTATCTTCAGATAAAAAGAGGTCAGAGAAAAATGCATTCTGATATGAGAGCAGTTCCTGTGGGTTTCCAGAGGTCTGGATAATGCTGACCTACAAAGGCAGCCTGTATTCCCAGTCAGGGACACTCCCGGGCAGGTGGAGCTCGTTAGCCCTTAAAGGCAACCCACCTACGTCCTAAGGACCTCGCTGCCACCGTCCAAGCTCGCTTGGCCCCGGCAGATGAACCTTAGGATTAAAGGGTGGGCTCAGTTCCGCGCACACTGTGTCTCACCTAAAAAATCCAATGCGCAGGCTGGAAGGTGGAAAGACCTTCCCCGGATCTTCGCTCGCGAAGACTGGCCATTATTTATTATACAAAGGCAGCCTGTGTTCTTTCTCCTGTGCTTTGTTATTGGAGGACTTACACATGTGTATGCGGGAAGGCAAATGTTCATCAAGGTGATCCCTCAAATCCCTGAGTGTCATTCCAGGTCATTCCACAAGTCAGCCCTGGGGATCTTGGGCAAAGCATTTTGCCTCTCTCTGTCCACTCCCTGTTCTCATAGCCAAGGTGATGCCTCTTGAGTTTTACAGATGTGCCCAAGTTACTTCACTGATGATTTTGTGTTGAACTGGCAACACTGTGGTATTTTGCATCTGAAACTACAGCAGTCTGTACTTCATTTTTAAGCTTTATCATGCTTGAAGCATCTCTGCTGTGTTACATTTGTTTGAAAGGAAACAAGCCATGTTATTAGGAGTTAGGGAGTGCTGTGGGCTGCTCCAACCGATCCTTTCCCCTTTAGAGGGGCCACAGTGCAGTCTTAATGACTTTTTTTTTTTTTTTAATGGTGTTTTCCCCTTTTAGTATTTCTTTAGGATTTCAGTGCTGATTAGGGTTTCAGTGATGTCTCTTGTTGCAGCAGTGTCAGGTTTGGGTCAGGGCTTTGCTCTGCTGGTGACTAATAGCCGTGGCTGGAGGTTTGTTCCACGCCCCAAGGCATTGATGATGTGCAGCAGTGAGGGAGAAGGGAGATGTTCTCATCTGCCTGGACATCTCTGCTCCACTGTTCTTGCTTTGAGGAAAAGTAGCTCAGGTTTGGTAGAAAATTGAGCCCATTTGTCTGTCTCTGCATCCTCTCCTCAGCTTTGTGCCTTTGGGCATTTGAGTTTGGTGCCAGCGGGGTGACTGGATTTGGGATGCTGTGTCTGGATTTGGGATGCTGTGTCTCTTTGGTGGCTGCCCACCTAAATGTCGGGCAGCAGTGCCAGGCCCAGGCTTGTGGTCTGCAAACTGCTTACAGGAGCTTCCAGCACGGCTGAGACCTCAGGGGCGAGTTAAAAGACGAGGCAACAGGGAATGTGAAGTACCACAGTGCCTCTAGAGCCAGACTTGCTGCATAGCATCGATCTCGAAAAACTAAAACTGAGGAGCCACTTCTAAAATGAGTAGCAGGATCGAGGAACGCTGTGAGCTGTCTCAGACCATTCACTGCAGTAAAGCAGGGGAAACGTCTCACTTTGGGGAGCACAGTGAAGAATTTTAGGGTTATTTCTGTGGCAGGGGGAGGCCAAGAATGTTTCCACATAGAGGCAGCAGAAACCGGGGTGTGACCTCTGGTCCTTTTGGGCTTGGCACCCTCCTCTGTAAATAGATCCCTGAGCAAAGGTTAGGAAAAGCAATCCCATTCCAGACAGACCCTGCCTCCAAGTGGAATGGCCAGCCTCCCCCCTCCCATCCCTGCTGGCATTTTGGCTGTTATCCTGGATGCTGGTCATTAATCAGTACATTTGTCCAACCCCTTCTCCTGGGCTGGGTCAGTGGAAATGCATTTATTGGTCCCGGGGCCGCCCCTCTTTGAGTAATTGGGGGGCAGAGTTACCAAGGAGCAGCCCACGAAGGATTTCCAAGGGATCCCCACAAAGTGCAGCTGGAATTAACTCCAGAGTCTCAGCAGCCACTTCTGGGGGGACTCCCTCTCCCAAGACCAGCAAAGACAGAAAACCAACAAGTTGGTCCTGCTGATCCTGTAACTCAGGTGACTGATATTACCTTGTTTCACTTAAATTTTAAAGAGTTCTGAGGGTGGGCTCAGCAATTAATCACGCCCAAAAGGATTAAATATCATCTTCATTTGGGTAGGGAAACCCCGATCCTAATTTATCTTTTCTTTGAATTAGAAAGAAAAGCTTAGTACTTCAAGCAACACAACAACCGGAACACTGTAGCAGAAGGTCGAAGAGTGAGGAGCATTGACCCTGCAGCTCCATAGCAGGAAAAAGAGGAGATACTGCTATTTTAAGATCATATGAAGCTGTGACAGATGATCTTGTGTCTTTCTGCTGCCTAAGATTTCTTTACTGCTCGCTGTTTGTGCTGCTTTCATGTTTAGGACTGTGGAAGGTTTGTAAGAAAGACGCTGCTTTGGGAAACCCAGGTCTAACATCCCTTCCCACAGTGGTTTGATTACTGGTACCAGTCCTCCCGTGGGCACTGGCAGCTGGGGAGTGCTGACCCCTGGCTGGCTTTGGTCCATTTTTGGCTTCTTCCCTGTGAGTGCATCAAGGCACGAGCAGCTCCTGATACCTCCCCACCAAGATGGAAGAGGTCTGGGTGGTTTATCTCTGCCTGATCCTGATGATCATCGTGCTTGTTCTCATGAAGCAAAACCCGGATCTGGAAGAGGCCAGGAAGGACAGGGAAAGCAAACCCTCCCCACCATCCTCTTCCTTTTCCCCCAGTAATGTGGGCAAACAGCTGGAGCACACCCAGGAAGAGCTGGAGGAGTATCTGGAGAGGCTAAACAATGTCTTGTTTGACACAGAAGCCAGGAGAAGGGATGGCCACCATGATCAGAAGTTCCAACATCACAGAAGTGCTGATTTTGTGTCAGAAACTAAGGAGCACTCACAACACCTGTCAGGCTACACAGAAGTCCAGGTATGAGTCTTAGAAAGACTGTCAGACTCAGCCAGACCTCGAGCTCCTGGCTGAGGCAGTGAACCCTGAGGAATTGCACAGTCCATGAGGTTGGCTGGGGGAGAGGTGGAGGGAAGTGTTTGGAGGTGATACCTTCCTATTTTTGCACTGTTTATTCAACATTAAGCACTCACCCAGAGACAGCTCTGTGTGGTGTGAATGCTCCACGTGAAGGATGCAAATGTTGGCATTGGCACCCATGCATCTGTGTGTGTAGCCATGATGTAAATGACTCCTTCCCATAGAAATAGAAATGGGCATCAGTTCTTACTTGAATAAATTACTGTGCAGCTCTTCAGCTGTTTTAAATCTCCCACTTTCCCCCCATACAGCAACATTTCGCCAGTTTGCCAAGGGTCTGGCCCAGGAGGGTACAGGAGCTCTGCAGGCACCTGTCTAGAGGTCACTGCATGGTATTGAGCCATGGGAAATACTTCTGGAATTTTTCTTCTGTGCATGATGATCATGCAGTGTACTATGTAAACATAAAAGGCACTACTGGCGACTTGCAAAAATTACTTTGCCTTGGCCAAGGCCCTTTTTTAGGGGCTGAAGTGATGTAAGGCTTTTTATTTTTATCATGAATCTCATTGCAATACATCAGGTTTGCCCTTGAAATGACAGTTTTCGTGGCAGCTCAGAGGCTGTGTTACTTAATGCCAGCAGCTGTTAAGATTCTTCATTCCTGAGACATGGATCTCACAGTGCCAGTGCCCCACTGTGTCCCAGAGCACGTCCTGGGTCAGGTGGGAGCTCCAGCACGAAGCCTTCAGTGCAGAGGAGACCCTGATGTCAATGATGGTCCCTGCCCAGGAATCAAGAGAGACTTCTTGGTGAGGAAGGCACTGCTGTGAACAGTGAGCCAGAGCATTTTAACTTCTAAAGTCTCCTGGAGATGCCTGAGCTATCTGAGGGAATCAGTACAGTCTGTTCAAGGCAAAGGGGCAGATACACAAAATGTTATTCAGAGCACATGGGCAGGAAGAGTAATTCAAGTTTACTTAGTAATTCAGATTTATTTAGTGGCCAATTTCATTTGCTGAAGAAGGTGCTATTAGATCTCCTACAGATCAAAGAATAGCAATGATTTTTCGTTATGGAAATGAATCATGATGCAAAATAACAGTCTTAGCTTATTTTTCTGTTGTGCTTAAAGATGATTGTGTCGGCAGAATACAGACTTGGGAGAAAAAGTGCTGTGATCACTATTTTCACACAGTTTAATCTAATGCTAGGTAGCTTCAGGGAACATTCACTTGATTAGAAAAAGGGGGTACACTGTTTTCACACACAGAATGGTTCAGGTTGGAAGGCACCACAGTGGGTCACCTGGTCCAACCTCCCTGCTCAAGCAGAGTAATCCCAGAGCACATGGCACAGGATTGCATCCAGAGGGTTCTGGAATATCCATAGTGTGGGCAATCTCTTCCAGTGCAGAGCAAAGTTCTTCCTCGTGTTCAGATGAAACTTCCCGTGTTGCAGTTTCTGCCCGTTCCTCATGTCCCATAGCCGGGTCCCCAAGCAGAGCCTGGTCCATCCTCTGCCCCCTCCCTGCAGCCCCTGACACACCCTGGGCAGGTCCCCTCTCGGTGTCTCCTCTGCAGGCTGAGCAGCCCCAGCTCCCTCAGCCCAGCACTGGACACGGCACTCCAGCTGGGCCTCCCCAGGCTGAGCAGAGGGGCAGGATCCCCTCCCCTCCCTGCTGGAAATGCCCTCCCTCACACAGCCCAGGATCCCCCACCCTAGTCCCAGGGCTGGTCAGGGACAGTGTCCACTGGAACCCCCAGGACCTTCTCCCCTGAGCTGCTGCCCGGCAGGGTTAATAACCTGGGCTTATTCCTCCCCAGGTGCAGGGCCCTGCATTTGCCTTTGTGTTCAGAGACTTGATGCAGCAGATGATCCTCATGAGGACAGTTGAAAACTTTAATATGAGCTCCTTTGCTGAACAGTAACCATGCAGAAGCAAAGCAGCAGAACTAATCTCTCGCTGTCCTTCATTTTGTGTTTTGGGAGCAGTGAGAAAGAAGTCACTGCATAAACAAACCTAAAAAATCACTTGCCAAAAACTTGTCAGGACACTGAAGTGAAATGGGGAACCTGAGCTTTGCTTGGCATGGTGTTAGCGCCAAAACTGCAGGGGGGGCAGGTGTTTACTGCCCAGGCAAAGGCCAGGAGTTGGGACAATTTCAGGAGCTGTGTTTGGGTGGTGCCCGGGTACACGGGGTGAGGGCGATGACGCCGAGTCAGGATGTGTGGTATGTCCAAGGGCTCTGGGAGCTCTTGTTCATGGAGGGGAGAGCATTCTCTTCCTTCTTCTGAGAGCTTTGTCTCTCTTCTGGGGTGATGTAGGTTGTTGGGATGGGCCAGGTTAGGAACTCTGGAAAGTGAAATCGCTGTCTAGCAGAGGTAGGATGGGTTGCAGCAAAAGCTTCTTCTGTGAGTGTGCCAGTCTTCTCATCCAGCCCCATCAGGATCTCTGCTTACTGTGCCTGCCCAGTTCTCCAGCAGCCTGCAGGCACTGCTGTGCAGGGAAGAGAGCTCTGTGAGGGAGGGAGAAACCACCACCACCACACTGGAGCAATATCTGTGGAAATGCAGAGTACTGTAATGAGTATTGGCAAGAGAGAGTACTAGTTGCAGATTTCTCAGGGGACATTGGATTTTCTCAGTGGACTTTGGGCATGGTCAGCTGTCAATTTAGATTCCTTCCATTATACCATTTTCCACTGGAAGAAGCTGTTCTGTCATGAAAACAGATGTTTAGAAGGAGCTATGGATTTTTTTTGTCACTCATCTAAGCTCTTGCCTAGTAGAGTAGAACGCATATTTTCTTTAGAAGTCCTATTTGTTGCTATACATTATGATCTAAAAATGATTTCTAGATTTTCCCCATTTTCCACTTATTCTGTGTTCTCATGGAAACTGGGCAGTCCAGTTGTTACAGCCCAAACAGGAGCAAATGAATGGATTCAGAAGTGCAGGAGGGGTAAGATGGGTGAAGATGGTGTGACAGAGCAGTGAGCAGATTATTGGGGAAAAACACACTCAGAGGGCTTCCTGCTTCATTAAATTTAATGAGAGCAGGGTTATTTTTCGGGTTGTTTCCAGAAGCAATGAGCAGTGAATGGTGGCAGATGGCAGCGAGGCGTGGGCCTCCCACTCGCTGGAGAAATAGATTGCCAGCCAGTCTGTGGGACATGCCACGGGTGGCAGAGCACGTGTGCCTGTTGGGACAAGGCAGAGGGTAGAAGTCCTCAGTGTAGCCCTGGTTTTAGAAAACCCCCAGTGCCAGCTTGGAGCCACACGGGGGAAAGGTCAGAGCAATGCCCCAGCCGAGGGGCAGTTGGGAGTCCTTTCCAAGGAGTGTCTGTCATCAGGGGCTGGGAAATGCCTGCTGGGGAGATTGATGGTGGCTTGCCTGGCTCTGCTGGCCCTGTAATTGGATATGCAGAGTTTGCCATGGGTCAGGAGTGCCTCTGCTGCAAATGCTTCCCACAGTTAACCTCCTGCTGTCCTTAACCTGAACAGAGAGGCACAGGGTCACAGGACGGTTTGTGGTGAAGGGGACCTTGAAGCTCATCTTGTTCCAACCCCCTGCCATGGGCAGGGACACCTTCCACATGACCAGGTTGCTCCAACCCCCATCCAACCTGGCCTTGGACACTTCCAGGGATGGGGCAGCCACAGCTTCTCTGGGTCATACCCATGGAAATCCTTGTGGTGACATGTCAGTGACAGCACAGCCACCGTTCATGTGAGTGAAGCAGAACAGGCAGAGTTGCAGTGATTATTTTCCCACACAAGGTTGACTCCTTGTAGCCCTGGGCCTCCTCCAGGTCTGACAAGAGTAACAGGCTTTCTGCAGTGCATTCCTGGTGGATTTTGGCTGATTTTATTTATGCGGCAAGGGCCTCTACACCCTCAGTCTATCACCTGGTTCAGTCTGCTTCTTCAGCCCCTCACAGCCCTGTGCACTACACAGATGGCTAAGACAGTCACATGGTTAAACCTCTGTGGATCTCGTGCTGCAGTGAAAGACACCTTAAGTGACATTACCTGAGGTAATACTGTCAGGGTGTTTCTGTAATCCCCTCGGGCCCTGCCCTCCTGCTGCTCTGCAGGCCTGTGTTGCAGCTGTGGTTTTGCAGGCAGAGAGGATCTCTGTCGTTACACCTGTGCAGCTTCTCTGCCTCAAAGGTATCATTTGCTCTCAGGAAGGATTACCTGTCTGCCACATTAGTGTTTGAGGGTGCTCCTGATCTATGTGTAGAATTATAGAGTTGGAAGGGACCCACAAGGATCATCAAGTCCAACTCCTGGCCCTGCACAGACACCCCAACAATCCCACCCTGTCCCTCAGAGTGCTGTCCAAGTGCTCCTGGAGCTCTGGCAGTCTTGGGACCATGACCACTGCCCTGGGGAGCCTGTTCAGTGCCTGAACACCCTCTGGGGGAAGAACCTTTCCCTAAATTCCAACCCTGACACAACTTCATGCCACGTAGCCTCTTGTAAAACCACAGAAGGGATGAGGTGGGAAGGATGAGATCAGCCCAGCCCCTCTGCTCAGTGCACAGTCAGCTGCAGCATTTTTGCCCAGGGACACACCCAGTCAGATTTTTAATGTTTCTGTCTAGAAACCTGGATGTCCTCTTAACACATGAAAATTTCAGCATTTGTGCAGGAAAAACAAAACACTGTTTCTTTTGAAGTCTCTGCTTCTCTCCAGGTCCTCCACTCTGTATTGCCCCCAGTTGTTCCCAATCTCTCAGCCCTCCAGCACACACCAACCCCCGAGAAGTCATTTAGGCAGATATCAGGATGTTTATCTGGAATGTGAAGTTTCACATTTGTGCCTCAGCCCTGACTTTTAATCAGGTATATTCCAAGCAGGGTGAGCTTCTGATTTTCTCTTTTAGCACGAGGAGATGGTTCTGCCCTCTTTTCCTTGCTGCTGAGAAAGC